ATATATATATATATATATATATATATATATATATATATATATATATAGATATATAGATATACAGTATATATATATGGGGTTTTGTACATTACCACAAAAATATTTCTCTATATCCAAGAAGCTGCCGGGTCTTGCTTCCCAGCTGCTGGGCAAAAGTAAAAAGGAGTCTGCACAGAGCTGGTGCAGACACCTGCATAGATTACCATGACAACATATTTTATTTGTTATGTGAAAATTGCAAGTGAAAAACAAGTCTGATTCACTTGATAGACTCGACGGGGGGGTTAGCCAATTGTGGGTTGTATTCATTCAATCACACATACAGCAGTGGTCGTTGCAGACACACCTGGGGGAGATCTGCACTCTACTGAGTGCACCTTTCTAATTGTACATGAATTGTTCACTACAGAATCATCCAGTATGTACACAAGTCCTGATAAACGTGACTAGTATTCAAATGACTGGAAACAATTGTAGAAATAATGGTTAATTCAAACACACAAAGCAGTCACATTTACTGGTTCCATTATAACCCGAACCACCGCCCCACGGAAAATACAGTTGTAGAGGAAACATCAAAACGAGAGAAGAGAACGGCAACGCAAAACAGCCTTCCTTATGAAATGCTTACCAACATCTGACTCAGAAGTTTTGCTTACCATAATGTCCTGTTCCTCATCAAGATCAAGTATGTAAAGTATTTTCCTCTCACCCATTTCCTCTGTTAATGAAAATGTTTTGATAAGCATTCAAAGGCACATTCTCAGTTGTTAGAATCAATTTAGTTTCATCTGTAATTGTGATTAAACAACTAAATGGACAGCAACGTTTTCTTACTTGCGTGACCATCTAGAAGTGTAATACTCGAGTGATTTGTCAAGAGATGATTTTCTGTGTGGGAGGTTTTAAAAACCTGGCAAAAAATAAAATAAAAGGAATGAAATCGATAGCAAAGAGAATTGGCCGGCTCTGAATCTTGTAATGGTACTGGGAAATGAAATGGATGTACAACACACTCACAGGTGGCAAAACAGAGATGTTGCCTTTTTGATGGATTCTGCCCTTTTGAAAAAGAAAAGGGGGAGGGAGGGCAGTGATGTTGTGGGAAAACAAGGTTTGTATTTGATTGTGTAGGTGCACAGCATAGACAGGACGTCTATTCCACCAGCAAAGGGATTTCACCTCTATTGTTAGGAGACTGGATCAATGCTGGAAGCAGACATCTCCCCGGGGTATCAAAAGCTAAGATGCAATGGCAGTTGAGATGACTTTTTCTTTTGGCAAACTACAGAGTGAAAAATGAGTGGAGGTTGAAGCTAAAGGAGAGTAAAACTGCTACTTTCCCACTCTCTAATTTCTTTCTTTTGCTTTCTCTCTTCTGTCTGGTTCTCTGTCATTGACACAATCCACCGTAGGATTAAATACCATCACACGGACTAATGACTTTTGATACTTCAAGGTTATATTCTCCACCAGTTCCCCAGTTCCATGGTCTCCCATTTAGATTTATCTGCAATTTACACAAGTGCTTCAGGACTCCCGCGCACCATTGGAGTTCAGGGCATGGTAGACAGGGGATTTTTGGACCTCATAATGCCCCTACAAATTCCCCCTCTACAGAGCAATAACACAGAGGAGAGCAGGGAGCTGGTCAAGCAGTGTGGGGCCATTTTTCAGTGCTAATACACTCTGTCTACCCCAGATCAGATACAGCACAAGGACAGAGTAGTTCTTAGACGGATGGCCTCTTTTCCATCCCCAAGAGAGTCATCCATTCCCAATGTGCACTGCGCCACTTTGCCATCCTCCAATTCAATGGACACTTGAGACACAGACCCAAGATAGTGGGGGCACTAGTCAAAGGCACGGTGCTTTCTGCTACCTGCAACCCCTTGTGATTGCCACACTGGCTCGATAAATCTGACTTTAAACGTGAACATGGAAATAAGATATATTTCCACAGTCACCTGAACCTTTGCCAGAAAACAGCTCAAGGGGTGAGGAAAGAGGGAGGAAGTCAGGGGATCGGAGAGGGCCTGGTGTGGAGGCGGTCGTTGGAAGAGAAGATGAAAGTGGTGCTGAAAGTGTAAAAGAAGTAAGAGTAATGGGCATGCGTTTCAGTGGGCACTCAGGGAATCAACACTCTCTGAGAGGGAAGGACGAGTGGGTCGGAACATCTTCATTACTGTTTATAATGGTAGGAGGGCTAACTGGCATACATCACAATCACTCAACCACCCTCTGATGAAGACACAGAGGGTTTCCTTAGATCCAAACAAGAATCCACCAGAGAGAAGAGAAAGAATACCAAACAAAGCAAATCAGGTCCCTCGTCTGCACACACATCCATGCACAGAGCGACAACAAAACCCCATCCTTTGCAACATTCCAATCCTAACCACACAAATATTCTCAGTGTTTTAACTACTGGGTTGTTAGTTTGCTTCTGACTGACATAACAATCACTATACCTTCCCTCTTTGCAAGCCTTGGAGGTAGCTAATTGATACATGCCACTGTCTTGTTTTTGGACAAGACTATTATTCGCTCCATTATTATTGGCTGTCACAAAGACAACCAAATCGCCACATGCTGTTGTGGCTGCTAGATATATCATATTGTAATTCATTCCCAATGCTGCTCAGAGTATTTACAGTCCATGTCTCTACTGCCTGTCCCTCCCCTCATTGCGCCATGTGAAGGCAGTCAGTCCACTGCAACGGATGCAACCACTAAGCTTTCGTCAAATGAATGTGTGATGATGTCACCAATATGCAAATTGGTGTATGATGTAATCTGGCGACCTTTAGCAACTAATTGACCTAGTGTAAGCTACTTTCATTGGAAAAAAAGTTGTCAACACTGCACCGGACACACTGCATTTTATTTTCCACAGTTAATTTGATTGTTCAGCCATTTCCGCTACTGGGGATAGTAACTGAAAAGTACTTAGATACTCTTTGGTACCTGGCGATAGCTACCGGAGAAGATAAAAGTGCTTTCCTCTTCGCTTTCCTTTTTGTTAATTTTACTGGTAGATCGTATCCAGTGGCAGACTGACTTTTATAGTGAGAGCGAGGCTTATTGGGAACCAATTTTAACACAGATATTGTCATTATTCCATATCTATTACACCCAGCAATCATCATTTACTTCATAATAATAAGTTAAAGCAAAACACCTTTTATGGTTATTCCCTTTTTTTCCCACATGCACTTACTTCAGTTCCTTTGCAAAACATAAACTCTGTAATTTATGTCAATGTCAAAATGACAGCACGTTATAACTAAACCTGCATATTTATTTTATACTCTGCTGAGAATTCAATACTCATCACTTTCAATATGCATGTATGGGAGAATGGAACGGCACTGTGCTGTGCTGTAACCATGCTGATAATAACTGTAGGGCCTGATTTACTGTGGCTCTTGATGCTGATGGTCCAGATACCTGCCTAATTTAATTGTTACTGTTTTATTGCCTTAATCACATTCAGCAAATACAAGAGTCTCCCCCTCTTCCGAGTCTCCTTCATCCTCTGCTTCCATTAACGGCAGACCTGTTTATCTGTATAACGGTGTTAGCTTACGAACCCATGCGCATGTGAAAACATACACCTTGTACACTCCTGTGTTTGCACACATAGACACACACACAGAGAGACACAGAGTGTACAGGGTTCACACCGTTTGTCTGAATCAAATCCCTGAATAGGATACAGCAGTATAAAGTGATTCAGCTATTGAGTAAGCTTGCGCTGGCCCTTCTATCCTCCCAAAGGGAATGCAGGTGTTTGTGTTACCCTGGGCCTGCTATGTTTAGACATGAGTCTTGGACAAGGCCCAGCACACCAACAGAGCTCCCAAGCTCCCTGCAGACGACAGCATTCTGTCTCTGCTCCTTCTAACGCCATCAAGGGCTCCCGAACCTGGCAGCCACAGGCTCATCTCGGAAGCAGCCGGCTGCCCAAACATCTGTCCTCACCCAGTTACAACTCCTACAGTATGAGCTGGTGAAGTGTAGTTGGAAACAGTGTCATACTGATACAAATGCATCATTGTTGTCATCATCATAATTGTCATAATATCACAACCATTGCTGATGTATGGCAGGGCGTGTTCTCCTAAAGCTCCCTCTCAAAGCTGTACCGGAGCTTTTGATCATATCACATGATCTTCATCTCCAGGTGAATTTTGCCAGGTTTTTGTAGAAATGCAGATGTTCAAACACTTTTCCTGAACATACTATTTGTGATGCGATTGAAAGCTTCAGAGCAGCCACGAAAGGGACCCTGAGGTGAGATTGTTTAGTCAGCTACTGTTTTCAAGAGCAAGAAGGAACTATGGAACTCAACCTTTAAGCCGACATGAACAGAAAGTCCTCAAAGTGCTTTGAATGCAATAGAAATTGCAACGTAAAAAATTGGGATAACTCAATTCGATGATGAAGACCATGTTATATGACCAGAACTCTAGAACGGCCACTAATAGGACCTCAAGGACAGATTGTTTTCTTGCTGATTCCAAGAGCGAGACTGAACTCTGTGAAACTCATCGCCAGTTTAATTTGCATCATGATCATCATTGTCATCTTCGTTGTTGTCGTCATCGCCGTCATCAACATCACCCTTCTCATCTCTCTTCCTCATCATCGTTATCATAGTTGTCATCCTAATAATCGACGTTGCTGTCCTCAGCATGATTAGCACAACCGTCACCAGTATAATTAATACCATCGTCATCATCTTTATCATCATCGTCGCAGAACATTCGCCATGATATTTATATTCAGAGACACACTGCTATGAACATCAACATCATCATCATTAACATAATCCTTTCCACGGTACTTTAACCTTTTAATATGTTTCTCACATTTCCTGTGCCAGTACAATATATTGTGGATATGATGATAAGACTTTGCCGATTTTAAAAGTGTATACACTACTCTTTTCCGAGGCTATCCATGGCATTTCCGAGGCATCTGTTCATGCTCGCTGACAAACAGACACTATACGAGTGTACTACCAGTTATGTAAAGGGCCAGACAGGCCAAAAACACCCGGCGGGCTTTTTCAACATTTTTGGAAACACAGGTGTTGCAGAGCTCTCAGCTGTAGTTACACAAGAACACAACCCTGGAAAGATCTACAGCTGGGGGGGAAAAAGCGCAAAACGATCCCATGAAGGCCAATTAGAATTCTGCTTCACTTCGCTTACTGATTGAATGAGGTAATCTGTTCTCATTTAAATGATAGTATTTCAGTCAAGCATGGGGCCAGCTTAGTCATGGGAAACAAATGAGTTCCCTACCCCGTGAAAACTGCTCCCAGTACTGGCAGGAATATAAAATGGAGAAAGGCACCGGTTCCATTGTCATTGTTTTCATTTGCCACATCAGCATGCAGCCACATCTCTATTGTGGAGGCTGGCAGCGTTTAGATGCGTGATGTATTGTATCTTCCACAGCAGTGTCTAAATTTCCCAAAGAGATCCGCAGATGCCTTCGCTTCACTTTTATAAATGGGCCTTGTCTGTTGTAGCAGCAGAGAGCCATCCACACCACGCAGAGCGAAACACCGCTGCCCGTGACATCATAAAAGTCTCACCTAAACACGTACAGAGTGTCTGTGTCCCCGTCACAGAAGCTATCACTCACAAACACAAGCAGATGTTCTTTATGTGATCCCGAGTCAATTTATTAACATCAGCTGTTGTGTGTAATACAGTCCGTGTCAACCAACGTCTTCATAGGTGGGGGCGCTACCCATTTGTCATTCTGTGATTTGTTTTTCTTAGCTGGCACTCTGTGCTGCTCTCTCTGCCTGGCGTAATGGGGAACGTGCTGTCTGCTCCGAGTCACCAGGGAGCTTGTCACAGCATGGAGGGCTGCCACAAAAATATGCTGAAGCCAGCACAGAAAACCTTCCCTAGAATGATGATTTATTCACACAAAAGAGTACTATTGACATAATAGTCTTAATGCCTTTTTCCCCCTTTCCTTCATTTCTTCCCCCCGTTTCTTACCGTGTCTCCTTGCTCTGCCTTCTAATCCTCTCACCAGGTGGGCCAAGGGAGGAAGCATAATCAAGGAGGTCTCCGGAGACACATATGAGGTCATTGTGGACCACTCCTTCTTTACAGAACCCGTTTCCTGCGAGGTCACCAACCCGCTTGGCAGCACCAACATCAGCCGCAATGTTGACGTCTACTGTGAGTGGCTCCTCAAGTGATACTGCATACCTTTCAATAATGCCAGCAACGTGATAATGCCTGGTTATGGATTTTGTCTAGTGTGCTTTGACACTAAACTCCAAGAGCTGGCACCATCACAGCTGATGTGGATCATATGGATATGGATGTATTGTAGAAAGTCAATGATGTTTATTTCAACAGATGGTCCTCGCATGGCGGCAGAGCCTCAGTCCTTGCAGGTGGACCTTGGATCTGACGCTGTTTTCAACTGTGCCTGGACTGGAAATCCCTCTCTTACCATAGTGTGGATGAAGAGGGGATCTGGAGTGGTGAGTTTATTGATTGGCACTGCTACCAAGTATGTTTTACATCCAGTCACATACTGTGACATTCAATAGTTTTAAAGCTGCTTTTCTCTGATAAAGCCTGTTTGAGACATTTTGTGATTCTAGCTCCTCCATGGCTTATATGAAGTAGGTATATACTCATGTCATACAGACATGTGTTTTGAAATGCCCATTAAACCTAAGAACTTGAGGCCATTACAGTCCTGGCCACTTGGTGGCCCGTTCTCACACAAGATTGGTTGATCTGATCCACAAAAATGTAGACTCATTCCACCTTTACTTTTGTCAACATCAAAGACCAAAGCCAACCCCTTTACTCCACTGAGCTCAGACCCTAAATTGGATTTTAATAATTGAGGAGAGGTGGCCTTTAAGGTATTAAATGGTGCCTTTCTTTCTCCCCATAACATTGCCTTGTTGCTATCTCAAATGCAAAGGTGCCTTTGCTCTCACTGCATTCGATCAACTTTGACTTGTTCTGCCACAGGTTCTTAGCAATGAAAACCTCCTCACACTGAAATCTGTGAGACAGGAGGATGCTGGGAAATACGTTTGCCGTGCTGTGGTCCCGCGTGTTGGAGCAGGGGAGAAGGAGGTTTCTCTCACTGTCAATGGTAAGCTGTATTATTGATATGTCTTTCACACAGACAGGCTCAGATGCACACCCACAAAGTTGTCAAATGCATACCCACGCAAGCGTGAATCTCGAGGTCTGGGGTCAACGGCGACAAAAAGAAAGCAATTTGTCACAGGAGTCAGTCTTCTGCCTCCTCTGTGGTTTACAAAAGCCTTCCATCTATAAACCTCCAACAGAATATGTGGCTTTATTTTTTGCCTGTATTTATTTATTTGTTCCTATTTTTTTATAGTTTAGCAGTTTCTTGGAGACACGGTTCATTTTACCAGGCAAACCTAGTGACAAAACACAAGCCATCACACAGACACACACACACACAAAGCACAAGGTTGTGGCACATGCAAATTCATTTTCCTGACAAACAAAGCCATTTCATCACCTGTCATCATGGTGAAGCCTCTAAGCAGAAAAAGCAATAAATATAGACTTAGTCTTTTCAAGATACGGTCACACATTTCATAAACAGGTGAAATGTACTTAAATGCTAATTATATTCTGCATGAGGCACAGGGAAGCTGCCTTTTCTGAGGCACTGACTGACTAATGAATTCCAGCCTTAGCGGGGGACCTGGCAACTCTCAAACAAATGACTTCATTGTAAGCGCTTGATATTCAGGGAGCATGCTACAATGTGGCAGAGGTTCTTAGTTGTGGGATTTACATGTGTCTTATTTTCCCGGTGTCCATCTGAAAGAAAGCTGGGCCACAAAGTAAAAACAGAGAGGGTTTTAAGAAGCTGGATAAATTATGTTGAGTTGATGCTGACAGTGTATCACTGTACATTTAGAAAGCATACAAAAGAGTTTGCCTGTAAGCAACAGTGGTGCTGATTCGGGGATGAAGATACATCAAGTAGCAAACAGTGTGTGCAAAGATTTTCTTTTCAAAACCCCGACGTTAGCTTTGCATATCAGAGGGAATGGGATACCAGTATTCCCTCCAGCACAAGATCAGAACCGTGACTCTCTATGAACTGCAATGAGCCCCCTCCTCCTCAGCCAGGAATTCAGTTGAAATCAAGGCAGAAGAGGCGTAAGAAAAAGAAAGAATCATGATTAATTCTATTGTCTCCCATTCTGTTGAACCTATACTGGCATCCTTTCTGCAGCCTTTATGTGTTAACAGAATGCATAACATCCAATGGACCAGTTTATTTTGATGCATCTCTGTTCTGCTCATGTAACTATGGAGAATGTGTTGCTTTACAAAACGACGCCACAAGAGAAAGAAGACGGATTGCTTTAATAAAGATTATACCATAACACAACTCCGAGCACACTGGGAAACACACAACAAAAGCTGAAATGGCATGTTTAGTGTCTGCAGACCTTATACAAGCAAGCTCTGGATGTCTTCCAGTCTTTTTTTTCATTTGCTTATATCCCTCCTCATTTCTTTTGCGTCTTGTACCTCGCTGCCTGAATTGGTATTTGACATTCAAGAGCCTCCTTCCTTTTTACCCTTTTGAATAATTGAAATTCATCTCTTTTTTTTCCAAACCACATGAGGAATCTTGAGTCATTTCTTACCCGATCCTTGAGGCGAATCAGATTGTAAAATTTGTGAAAGTGCAAACACTGCGGTTGAAGTGGTGGCGTGTTGGGGGGGGGGGCTGTCTCCTGAGGTTCATTGATTGTCCTGTGCCACTGCCTCAACTGCAGATGAATGTGAGCACTCCTTATACCTCTCATCAGCCTGTAAGCCCTACATCACTGGCACTCAGCAGAACTCAATTGTTTCTGGCAGTGAGTAACTGACACCACGGATGGGTGAGCATTTGGGGAGGACGACCATGATACAGCAAATATCGGGCAATGCTGTGCATATTCAGAGCGTTCACGACTTGACGATGCACATTTAAATGTTTCTCTGATGTTTGTCTTCCCTGCAGTTATCCCCCGACTCCTTAATGCCATCATTTAAATTACATGTGTTTATAATTTGTCATTCCCTCTGTCTCTCTCTTCTCTGCCGTTGTGTGTCACTTGCTCCCACTGTGGCGTACCACATAGGCATGAGGATTCCTGCTTTCCCTGGGGAAGAATGTCATTTAATTATAATCAAACAGCTAGCAGGGGAGGCAGTTTGTGTTTGAGTCACTAATGGATACATATTGCGTACTCCAGTCAAATATTTTCCGAATGGTAAAGCTCCTCAGCATTTTGTACGTGGCCGTCAAGTGGCTACATCATGTATGAAAGAGGGCTCCATGCGTGTGATTATTTATACAGCATGCATGGATTTTACCACAGTCCTTCAGAGGTTGGAAATGAGAGAAGTTATCTGACACAGTTCAAAGGCTTTAGCTTGTGTACACTTAAGGACCATATTCATGCAAAAACGAATGAATGAATATATCCACAAGCGTGAGTAGATCTGCATTTTGTGTTGGACAAAGCAGGATATATAAAATCACACATATACAGTACTTTGGCAGCCTAGGGAGAGATAGCCCATTACCACAGTAAGGGAGAGAGAGGGCCGGAGAATCCCTCAATATCCCGCAGAGCACCGGGTTGTTATAGATCTTTTTTCTAGAGAGCCTTTATGTGCCTCGTTAATTAGCATTCCAGCCTTCTTGAAACTGACAACGGCACCGTGGAAAGTGAAGGAGAAAACTGTATTTAAAATGCAGCACATTTGATCCGACCAGCTAAATTTCAACATAGTAAGTTCAAAGTCATAGAGGCTCCACCCTCTTCTGGACTCTATGGGCAATACTCTCCTACAATCATGAGCACGTGTTTGCCCACCGAATACGTGCTAACCCCACAGTGTATAAGGCAGCACACATCGCTCCTCGACATCCCTTTCTCTTCAGGCAACGGCAAGTTGTCAGCTCACTGCCAATGACTGCCTAGATCACACTAGTATGAGCTATCAGAGCCAGTGGCAAAGTGCTGTTTCAATTCATAAACAGCTTTGAAACAATATTTGTTCTGTAAGAACTTTGCATCTATTATTTTCTTCCTCTAGTGGTCATGTTTTGGTGCAACCAACTGAGAAAGTTGCACCCTTCAAAACTTTAATTTTATTTTATTTGGATAAAGCACTAATTGTGGCGAGAGAATAGAATGGTTTGAGTTTGAAATATTACTGTATATGCATTTCACAGTGTGAAGCAATGACAGTATGGCTCACACTGCAAGCAGAAAAGGTGATGTGGTGAGGCTGGCATTTGGTGGTAGGAAAGTGTGTATTTCTGCAGAAGCTAAACGTGATGACCTCAGCTGATCAATTGGGGATGAAGGAGAAATTATTTGTGATTGTGACTCTGCAACCACTCCGACTCGCTTACTGGTAATGTATATAGATGAACTAAAATAGCAGGACCATTGCCCTAATATAAGCATTAAGTCAGTAAGTAGTCTGAAATGGCCCTTTTTTATATATACAGTATATATATATAGCAATGTAGATATCGAGCCATTTAATTACAATACGCTCACCCTCACTAACCAATGTGTATATCTTAGAGTGAAACTGGAGTGTGTAAAATACATAAAATGCTCTCAAAGTATAGAGTTTAATATTCAAAATCACCACTGGTGCAATACACTTATGGAAATCATGTGGCTATAAGTATTGAGTTACATATTAACATCTCTAGAATGAATATACTCCAACTGAAGTTGGTATATTCAATTTGATATTGTTAAAATATCAAAAAATAAGAGCTGTCTCTGGTTGGCAGCTTCAACATATAGACAAGATCTCCTCACTATGGATTTCTCCCAGAGGACAAAATGGCCACCAGTGAACAAACTAGACATTTTGTTTGTTTTCAGTTGCCTCGTAGCTATTTTATGCTCTTTTTAATAAATAAAAAACACCAACAGAAAAATCAAACGAGGGAAAAAGCATGAGTTAGCGAGGAAATGTCAAGCTTTTATTCAAAGTGGATGCTTCAGTTTTGGGAGTAAATGTAAGCCCTGGCCTTTTGACACCCACACTGATATTGTGTAACCACATTGCAATGTCCACTCCAGAGTTAACACCTCCTCAAATGACTGAGTGAGACATTGTGCCCAACATTTTGATTACCTCCCCAGCTGCTAACATTGATGTTCTAGTGCCACCCACCTACCCGCTACCAATGTGTTTGTGCTCTGATCACATAGTGTGAGTAGCAAACAACATACTCACACACACACACACACACACACACACACTTTCAACCCAGCCTGAGCCAGTGAGATAAAGCTATCTAATTATATTCCTCATTTGCAGCTCTGATCCATAGAATAGATCCTTCCCAGCTACTACTACAGCTTTAGCAGCCTGTAAGCGATTGATCTTGCTGTGTGGTGACAGCCAAAGCCTATACAAACCGCATCTCCCAGTCACAAGTTAAAGGGATAGTTCGGGTGTTTTGAAGTGGGGTTGTATGAGGTACTTATCCATAGTCGGTGTATTTCCTACAGTAGACAGCGGTCGGCACGCCCCCAGTTTTTTAGAAGCAGACAGGGGTACCAGCATGGGAGCAAAGTAATGTATTCCTGTAAATGGGGGCAGCAGCAAAACCCATTTCAGCCACATAAAAGTTAAGTTTATATTTAGAATTTTTTTTCTGAATTGAACTGTAAATGAAACCTATCTATCTGTGCCATTTTTGTCAACGGAGACCTGTGGCTTTGAAGAGAACATAGATAACTTTCACTTTCTGTTCAGTTCCCTGTCAGAAAGAGCTGTCTGACAGCAATACAAAGAGGTGAAGATATTCTAAATATAGCATTTATTTAAACGGATATCAGTTTTGGTAGTTGGACCTTTCTGTTATGTGGTTAAAATATGTTATGTTGCTGCCCTTGTCCACAGCAGTATATTGCTTTGCTCTAGTGTCACTACTCCTGCACGTTTCTCCAAATTGTGGGTGTCATCAGCCTTATGTTACACACTATGGATAAGTACCTCATACAACCCCATTTCAAAACACCGGAACTATCCCTTTAATACATGCACACAAAAATGTCCTTACATGAACCACAGCACATGCGTGTATCCAAATACTGTCACTCCATGTTGACAAAGCGGTGAAAGAAGGTGAACAGCTTTCAATATTTTTTTCTTTAATTCATCTACAGCATTGATTCTGCAGCAGTAGCAGCCTTCCAGCACCCTCCAGTAGCATACCAAGACGCCATCTGGCAGAGTCTAATTAAAATGCTAATTCATTTTAATAAGAGACAGGTAATAAACTGCAATTATGTATCGGCAGAGAGCGGGAATTTGAGGGAAGTTGGCTCACTAATCAAGAAGCTGCCTTGCTTGCCACCCCCTCAAACCCACATTTTAACCTGAAACTAATCGATGCTCTCTTTACAGCCACAAGACTCCATTTCAACAGTACAGATAACTTTAACTTGCGAGCATCTCAAGATTTAGAGCATTTGTTTTGCCACTCAACAGTGACGGGTTCGCAGCTAACGGTGCTAACAGTGCAAAGTACAGTTTACCAGAGGGAAAACTACAGGGTGATATCATAACATGTACAGTAACATGCAAACATCATAAGGCAAATATATATGCATCAAGATCAGAAAAATGCATTGAACAAAAAAGTTAAACAAATACTACTTGTGTACAGTATATTCTCATGTACTGTAGTTTAAATCAGCTGTCTTCATACCACTCATGGTAAACTGCTGTACAATTATGCTATGTAAAATATAATATGCTTGGATACACAATTCCTTGACAGTATTCTTGAACTGTAGTATAAATCTAATGTAAATGTAATACATTGCCTCTGTCCACTGCATTTCTGTAATTTCACTTACAGTCAGCTCTTCAGGACCAAAGGAAACATACACTTGAAAGACAGAATTGGGTCATGTGTGACATCTTGTCTTCATATTAGAGCTGTCACCTGGTCTGAACAGCCTCCAGACCAGATGGTAAGCAGACCAGTCGTTTAAGCTGAGCTGCCCTTGTCAGGCAAGATCTTGTAGCTTGATCAAGGTTTAACAGATGCTGGTTCAAAGTCCATTCCTGCCGCTCATGCTGACTGAACTAACCCTGTTTACATCATTTATAATTCCAATACAGCCATTCCATTTAATCAAACTTATAATGGAAGAAATCTGAATTTTACCCAACACCGTTTAGAGGTTACGAGTTGTATTTGCAGTTACAATGTGAACAGTGAGTAAGAAAGAACTACCGTATGTAAAAGTATAATATGAAATAAAACGTTTTTTGTTTTTTTTCATATAGTGTATTGATGGATGTTATCTTTTCACTTTTTTGGATTGCGTAGAAAGCTGGAACTTCATTTTTAGTTTTTTTTTATGCCAACCTATTGGTTCAAGGGTTAAATCCGCTGCAAGCAAATTTAATCAGGTGATACATTGCGACAAGTGTCTTATCTCCCCACAATGGCATTTTTCTCTTTCCATCTGTGTAGTGCTGATTACGCTCCAAAGAACTGCTGTAGCACTCTCCTGTGACGTTTATCTCCATGGGGGAAATCAAACCAGTCGTAAATCAACAATTTCTTGATCCAGAATGAGGTCTGGGCCCCCACTCATGCCCTTCGTTCATGCCTGGTGTGTCCTTGGGTAGATTGTACTGAGGGATGAGGCATGTTTATATCGCGCTGCAATACAATTTTCCCCCAAATTACCGAACACTTCAGGTGTTTCTGCTTGGAACAGGAGAGCAATTAGGATATAATGTGCCACAAAAACCCGATTGAGCAGAACTGTCGTATGAACTGAAACTGAAAATGAATTTAATTATTCATGTTTCAATTTCTGTGAGTTGTAACTCATCTTTTGACTTTTTTATCATTGTTCTGTTTTTCAGGCCCCCCTACTATATCCAGTACACAGACTCAACAAGCTTTACATGGAGAAAAGGGGCAAATCAAATGTTTCATTCGAAGCACACCTCCTCCAGACCGCATTGTAAGTACACTGGACTATTTATTTTCTTCTGATCTCATCATTATTTCAAGGACATGTGTGCAAATATAGTCATGATATTTTATGGATATATGGTACATGAACAATGTCAATTAGATTCGAGAATAATGGCCGTTCTTTCATATCTGTGTCCGAAATACAATGCCTGACTGAGCTGTTGATATAATGCCTGACTGCAGTATTGATCTGTTAACTACACATGGGCAGCACACATGAGTAGAGATAAGTTGAAGAATTGTACAGCATTAGCTCCATCATTTGTGCAAGGTGGGCATTATAATACAGTTTGAACCCCCATTTTTTCATTTGATGCACACTTATGCTCTGTTAGCAAGGATCCAATTAAGATTTATGGACCTTATATAAACAGCCGACTCTCTGAGCTCACGTTGTGCTTGTTATTAATTTGTGTGTGTGTGTGTGTGTGTAGGTGTGTGTGTGTGTGTGCGTGTGTATATAAATGTGGTTAATTGCCATACTTTGTCATCCAATGTGTGCTTTTATGATATTGATGTCCAACATTAACTAGCCACATAATTAATATCAGGTTTATTAGAGAAGGGTGCCTGCAGAGGCTGGTTCTAAATGTTAATTCCTAACTATGTATTTACAGTCTTCTTTCTTTTGCTTTTTGTCGACAGTAATAACAAATGTGAAAGTTGATATTATGTCAAGTCAATTTCATTCATGTGGCTAAACATCACACATTTGTCACAGAGGGCTTTACAGTCTTCTTAACCACAGCTCATCGAAGTCAATTAACACCTAAACTAAGAGAACATTTGTGACACTAACTCTGTATGTCAGAACTCTATTAAGGCACCTTTCCATTATTGCCAGCTTGAAGTTGAATGTGTTGTTTATCCGCAGTACCAATTTATTTGTCTCGCTCTTTATCCAGTATTATAAATTTCCTCATTTACCAGACAAAAATCAGAATAGTGTAATTCTCACCATAGTCACCCAAAACAAATGCAGTCTGTGCCCAAGTGTCAACGCCACTTCACATTAGTTCATCATGTTTCAGACCCATCACTTCCTTATACCTATTATGCCCTGCATGTGTTTCTTTTAGATATTCTGTTTGAGTTGCTGTCTATCGGAGAGATAACAATGTTGATTGGTTTGAAATAAATTTGAATATATGAATTACATAGCAGAGTGGTTTGAAAAAAAAAAAAGTTGAACAGTTAGACTTAGTAAGTTGTGTTAATATTATTTGATAGGATACTGTGCTTTCCAAAGAAATCAGACAAATCCCAAATCCCACCAAATGTATTTTCAATATTTTCAATATTTCTGTAAAATGTAATGCAATGTGCCATCACAGTTTACAATAAGATACATTTTCTTCAAGTAATTCTGCTTCATAAGGAATATTGAATGAATTCAAATTAATTAAAGAATGTGTTATTGTTGATATGTAATCCTTACTTTTATTTAAAAACATGTTTCAGCTTGTCCTTTTTGCCGTCAAGATTATTTACTCTATTCCAAATATTGCACAGTGTCGCTTACCCTATCTTTATATACCCCTCTAGTTCACAGCAAGCACTGCTCAACAAATGGTTGCTTGCAGTCTCCCAATAGCCAAATCCAAAAAGCACTGTGCTGTAATTCCAACACTGCATTGAGAAGAGATCTGCCTCCTCTGCAAACTATTTGCAATTATCTATTAGCTCAGTGAGATGCTGGAGGAATCTCAGTGGGCTGGCAGCTTGTCAAACACAAATGAACAGCAGCAAGTGGCCAGTTAACGAAAACATTTTAACCATAACACAGTGATACCATTCACACACTGTAATATCTTTAGTGCATTCCCACTGTTTCATTTCCCTCTGATGCTTCCCTCTGAATCACTGAACTCTTCACCGAACAAAATGAGCTAATGCCCGCGCATTTACCGGTATCAACTCACACCAGAGTAAAACATAATTATCCCTTTATTATTATTGTACAGCACTAAGTTCATCTACTCGTGGTCATCTTGTGTTTCCATGGAGATCTGTACTGTTAGCAACATAAAGCTGCCTGAAATAGTGCAGGAATCATCCAGCAACATATTGGTGAAATCTTATGATTGCAGGTTAGCACCATCCAATTAACACCTTCAAATGAGCCCACGCATGCACTGAAAGAAGTATTCATGTACACTGGGTAGTTGCATAAAGCACACACATGTGTTGGCTTGGTCAGCTTTAACACCACTACAGGCCACTTGGTCCGTCGCTGCCATAACATGTGTAGTTGTTATCAGGGTCAAGCTACAGCAGTGCTTTAGAGCTAAATGATAAATGATAAAGTTGGCCATGTTTGCATGCTTTTGCACTTGTAGAACAGGAGTTACAAACAATACAGGGACACGCGCATCAAAACGTTGCTCTACAGCGCCACTAATGCGCAAAAACTTCACACAATACGTACCACCTCTGTTCCCTCTGCCTTTTCTCAGGCCTGGTCATGGAAGGAAACCGTGTTGGAGTCTGGAACGTCCGGCCGCTACACGGTGGAGACCGTCACCACAGAGGAGGGAGTGATCTCCACACTGACCATGAGTAACATTGTCCCGGCTGACTTCCAGACCATCTACAACTGCACCGCGTGGAACAGCTTTGGCTCGGACACCGAGATCATACGCCTTAAGGAACAAGGTGGGAGCCAAGGTTCGGCAGGTTCCACCTTCATCTTCTTCAAATCACGTGACTGTGGTTTTCTAGAAAGCGATAGATGGTGACAAAGCTGTAATGTTTTGCGTGCATCACGGTGGTTGATGCACACAAAACATCAACCACCGTTGATGTTTTGTACAGTCCCAAGCTTGCCCTGTGTCTGCATACTTGCGACTGTACATCTAGCGCATGGGATTAGGTTGGTCCGTTTGTGTGTGAATGTACTTTTGTGTTCAAGTATGCATGAGGCAGGATTACACAATGAACAATTATGAATGTCGATGCACAATAACGCAAAAAAACAACAAATATTGAATAGATGTTTACCGTTTTTTGTTTTTTGTATCATCCATCGACATTTTGATAAATGATATGGTATTTTTCTTACTTTGATACAGCAGCTATGTACACAAACACTGTTTTTGAAATTCTATCGGAATAAAAGTTCTTTGAAATTACCATTCCGCCAACGTAGAACAAGCAAGATGATAATACAAAACTCTGAGACGTTTGATGTACAGTAAATGTGATCTTGACATAGATAAAGTCCTGACAAATTAGTTTTCTGGGTTAACATAGAGTGCAACTCCCTGGTAATTTGAACCGGTGACCCTAAGCATACCCTGCACTGAATATAAAATACACTATGCCTCCTTCTTTCTTGGTTAAAGAGAGAGTCTCTCTTTCTATTGCTCAAAGAAATGAATACTTTCTATCTGTTAACCTTTTCCCCTCTACCATAGGGGAGGCCGTGTTTTCTATTCACTTATCACAAATGATAAATTATAAGCTGCTTATGTGAATGTGACATTGATCAATGAAGACATTAAACAGGCTTTAATGGTGTAGGAAGAGCACTTGGTTGTTTTGCATTTGTTCAAAATGCTAGAAGGTCATAAACGTGGGCTGGCAACTCAGACCATTAAAGTGTGCTTTAATGAGAACCTTTAATGATGGAGCAGCATATAGATGCAGGCTTAATCTCTTCCCAGTCGCAAATGCACTATAACATCCTCCTGGAAACACACAAACATGATTATGCTTAAACTAATGCACACAGTCTTGTATTCTAATCAATGAAAATAAAAGCCCTCGGTGAAAGGCTTCTATTAGCCTAAATGAGTGTAAATTAAAACTTATTAGACAGTGGGATAATGAGACAACAGTAGGAAAATGTTTACCCGCACTGATGACAGGTTTGGTAATACGTTTTCATTTGAATTACACGGCAGAACTTTTTTCATGTGTTGCCTTGTGTCCATGTATTTTTATTTCATATAGCCTTGTGCCTCAGGGATAATGTCAAAGTCACTTAGAGGGATGCAATACAGCCTATCTTCCCTTAGGTCCTGTTTGTTGCAGAGACAGAAAAGAGGCAGAGACGAGCAGAACTGGTGCATGCGTGTGCCTCTACTGTACATCACGACCGTGCGCTCTCTATCACGTACCCTGTATAGAAATCAATGTACATTTCAGATGTTTGTCCTATCTTATCATATAAGTACATTTCTTTCTGTTGCTCTGCAGAATCTCTCCCAGTGGCGGTGATCATTGGCATTGCTGTGGGAGCTTTTGTGGCCCTCATTGTCCTCATGGGCACCATTGGAGCATTCTGTTGCACCCGCTCCCAGAGAAGTACGTATCCTCTTCCCCTGTTACATCCACTGAAGCATGCATGCCAAATTTCTGGATCGCCCTACCAGCACACTAGAAAAAAAAAAATGTCCATCTATTCAAATGTAGATATTGTTTTCATTAATCTGCTTGCGAGAATTTGGTTGTCAGCTACTTCAAGAAATTCTGACCAAACATACGTAAATAGCTGGAACATAGTGTCACGCTGGATAGAAGATTGAATCACTTGTTGGAATGGACACTTTTTATGTTGCAAAGATAAGCCATAATGTTTTAAGGGCTCATTTCATGCAAACTCAGTCTGGCTGCATTCGCTTTTGAGGCTATTTACATCCTGCGCTATGTTCACTGACACCCACCCATGTACCAAAAGTGACTCAGGTTAGAGACAGTCCGCCGCTGTCTCTATCGAAGAACCAATTTGTGCTACTGGTCCCTTCAGCATGTCTATTGTGTGTATACTACAGAGGAAGCGCACCTGGTTATGCCCTCACTGCCCGTCTCCATCTGTGCTCACCAGAGAGAACTTGCAAGCAAAATTAAGACAGAAAGTAAGACCCTGTTATATGACAGTATCATCAGCTTTGTCCCAAACAGAATGAGCCGCCGTGTAAAGGCTGTGTGAGATTGCATATGTATGCAGAAAGAGATAATATTGTGTTGGCAGGAAACAAATGATTAATAATGCTGTGTATTGTTTTCGGGGAAACGGGGGAGCTCTCACAAACCAAACCCAGGGATCTTTGCTAAATTCTGCAATACTGCAAACTGCACTGAGGGGAAATTATAATGTCAACAAATACAGATTGGTGTTTGTCCAGCTTATTGAGATATGCGCGTCATCTGTTTCTGCCAGATCTGAAAGGAGTCGTGTCGGCGAAAAATGACATCCGGGTGGAGATTGTGCACAAAGACCACAATGCAGCACGGGAAAACGAAGAACACACCTCCATGAAACAACTGATGGTGAGTGTGAGTGTCGCAACATACTACTTTCCACTTCTTGCTCCTGTAATATATATATATATATATATATATATATATATATATATATATACTGCATGTATTATTCCTTCTTAAGCTAACATTAACATAATGAATGCACATTACTATTGTCATTGCTATTTCCTGTGGAATAAATTGTTATGTAGATTATGTTCATTTATATGACTAATGAAAAACAGAAATGCATTAAGATTGTAAATGTGATGTTGTCAAGGCATAGTGTCTATATTTATCAATGTGATGCCACATGTCCGATGAGCAGAACAGACCCCAATACATTGTAACCATGCAAATGCGGATGCATTGTGGGTAATCCTACAGTGGGTGTACTTCTGTATCTACATGCCTTCTAGACACACAAAGAACTGTTTCCTCTTTGGAACTGTACCAGTGTTTTGGTTATCATGCTGCTTGCCCCGGGGCTGGGCTATTTGCAGTGCAAGGTTTTACATTTTCTTTCAAAAATACTTAATACAGTCGGCACTTCATGTTAGTGCCAGGAAAATGAGCTTAGCTACCTTACAAATTTGCATTCTGTTAAGATAAATAAAAGACACTCAGGTATGCATTATTAATGCTCACTGCCAGCCCTGAGTGTAGGTGAAACATGTCGACTGATATTAAAAAAGAATTAGTGATGAAAGTGAAATCCTTCCATCTCAAAATGCCTTTTTACTCTGAGAGGAAGAGTTTCGGGAACTACACAGACTCTTTGTATTTACTTTTCTTGATGTCTTTGCAGGTTGAACGTGGAGAGTTCCAGCAGGAGTCTGTACTGAAGCAGCTGGAGGTACTACAAGAGGAAGAGAAGGAGTATCAGCACATTAAGGTACGACTTGTGAACAACCACAGCATTGGGGAGAATAAGGTGTCGAGAGAGAGACAGCCTTTTGGGGTAGAGCGTGGTCTTGATTAACTCTGGGACCAACATAGCAGAAAAGCAGGAATCCCTCTCTTGCTCGGTGTGATTTTCCAAGGATAAATCCACAGGCAAAGTAACTCCTGCTGGAGGTCTGACTTTTATTAATTTGTCTCTCATCAAAGAAATCAGAGGCTGGATGGCCCATAAGCTAATATTTAAGCTACTTACACAATATAGATGAGATTGGAATGTTTTGAAGGACATAAAGGACTTGGAGACCTACCGGGTATTTATTCGGGACATTTTGATATTATCTCTGCAGAATTTCTAACCCCGGGGTCTCTTCCCAGTTGGACGTGCCTGGAAAACCTCCAGTGGGAGGCGTCCAGGAGGCATCCTAATTAGATGCCCGAACCACCTCAGCTGACTCCTTTCGACGCGAAGGAGTAGCGGCTCGACTCCAAGCTCCCTCCTGATGACCGAGCTCCTTACCCTATCTCTAAGGCTGAGCCCGGCCACCCTACGGAGGAAACTCATTTCGGCCGCTTGTAGCCGCGACCTTGTCCTTTCGGTCACGACCCAGAGTTCGTGACCATAGGTGAGGGTAGGAACGTAGAACGAGTTTCCTCCGTAGGGTGGCCGGGCTCAGCCTTAGAGATAGGGTAAGGAGCTCGGTCATCAGGAGGGAGCTTGGAGTTGAGCCGCTACTCCTTCGCGTCGAAAGGAGTCAGCTGAGGTGGTTCGGGCATCTAATTAGGATGCCTCCTGGACGCCTCCCACTGGAGGTTTTCCAGGCACGTCCAACTGGGAAGAGACCCCGGGGAAGACCCAGAACACGCTGGAGGGATTACATCTCCCAGCTGGCCTGGGAACGCCTCGGGATCCCCCAGAATGAGCTGGAACATGTTGCCGGTGAGAGGGAAGTCTGGGTCAGCCTGCTTGGCCTGTTGCCACCGCGACCCGACCCCGGATAAGCGGTGGAAAATGGATGGATGGAATTTCTAACCCTTTTAGTGATGTACTATTATTACATACTCAGCTTGGAATATACTTACCTTTTTCAACACATTATGCTTCCATTAATGCGCTCTGTCAAAACACATGGACCAGCAGATAAACTACAAAACTTCTCCTGTCTATTAAGCACAGTCTCTAAATCTTGCCCAAGAAAATGTACAGTTTGTTCCAACGTTGACAATGATTCACACTATTTTTGACATGTGATTTCACTACAGCATTACTGTATTACTGTGTTTGTTATATGTATATCACAAACACAAATATGTATATTGTTCCTCTTATATGTATATATATTTTTTTCCTCTTTTATAT